CTAGGGTGGTGGTGCGGTGCCCCCATGTGCACCAAATTTAGACCATATATTATATTTTGTGGTCTCGTGGATTTGATTAATAATTTCACTAAGATTTATTTTCAATTCCACATCATTCCCCACACGTGCGCCCAGCAGACTTTTGACCTTGACCTCACGTTCTTCATGTTTTCTCATTATGGCATCACTTCAATTTCATTGCAAAATTACCTTACAAAATATCTACTTCTTAAAATTGTATTTACTATTATATCAATTTCCATAATCTTTTTTTTAATAGAGTATGACATACCAAGGAGAAAAAAAAAAAAAAATTTATTGAAAATTTTGATTTGTGATTGGAAAATAATTTCCAATAATTGAAATACAATTCAAATTTTTTAGTAGTTCTTATTTCTTAATACAGTATTAAAATATATTTGATGTACTATTTAATGATTGTTTTTAAATTAAGAATTATAGAAAACTATGAAACGACTGTTACTGTTTTTAAAAACATTTTGATTCATTTCTACTAAACACATTTTCATAAGATTTTTTGTATCTTTTGCTTTGAAAAACAAAACTTGTACTTAAATTCTTTATCAAACGAGCGTATCTACATTTTTTTTCTAATATAAATTGGTAAATACATCATTTTTGTTTTGTTATTGTTTTTATTTGAATATATCAGTCAATTGATGAATTTTAATAGAGAGATTAGCATTTTGTTTTAGAATTTAAGTGCTGAATTTTTATTTTTTTTATTAAATTGGACACATTATAAGTCTAGATTCTCATTCTAGAAATTTGTTGACTTTAGATTATGTACATGACCAACATACGTATTAACGTAGAAATTTGCAAGCTTCTAATTATTTTCTTTAAGGACATTAAGATATGGATTTTTTTAATATTAAGAATAAATATGATCAAATCCAGTTAACATGAACAAAAATATCATTATTAATCATATAAACGATACGTGGGTGTGTTTGTTTTATTATTTTAGGTATGATTTTTGAAAAAGTTAGAGTTAGATAGTTATTACGAGGTATGATTTAAAAATTAATAAAAACACTCCATAGGTTTGTTAATTTAGCTAAACACCCCTATAATAAAATATTAAAAATTAACAAAAACACCTCACCCACTTATTAAAAGTCGGTAGCCAGCCACCACCGCAGGAGGGTGGCTGGCTATCGCCGTAATGGTGCACGGCCAACTGGATCTAGCTGATCATGTGTGGATATGACATTTTTCAGCCATATTCACTGTGGATCTGACCGGAAAAGGCCAGATCTACGGCCATATTTGGCCATTGACGGCTGGATCTAGTCACGTTTGGTCATCAACAATGGCCAAAGATATGGCTATCGTTGATGGTTAACGACGTCCATATCTTGGCCATCGTTGACGATTAGCTACGACCAAAGATCAAGCCGGAAAAGGCTAGATCGGCACACTACCGACCAGATCCAACCGGTAGTGTGCCATTATGCTAGATTCCGGCCACCTTCCGATGGTGGTGGCCGGAATCTGGCAAATGTGGATGGATGAGAGTGTTTTTGTCAATTTCTAAACTTTTTTCTTTTGAGGGTGTTTAGTTAAATTAACAAACCTAAGGGGTTTAAAATAGTTGTATAAATAGAATAAAATTTTCCGAATAGGGAAACAAATATATATTTTGAATAGGATAGTGTAAAAATATTAAAACAAACACAGCCACAGATATTGACCCTAAGGTATGATGTAATAATGAAAATGATGTTGAAGTTTTTTAAATAACAAAATTCCTCTTATTGTTAATGAGAACTTATATTATTATGAGTGAATGAAAATTTACTAAATTACTCTCTTATAGTTTATCTTTAACTCATAAAACTTAACAGTAGATGAATTTTTGTTATTTAAAAACCTTAGAGAGATTGTTATTATTTAATTAAAACTTAGAGACATTATTGTTATGAACTCTAAAAATCATTCACATACCATCGGCAAATGAATTATTATTTTGATATTTATACATAAAAAAAAAAAAAAAAATCTTAAATATGATGTATATCAAACAATATTTATATAAATATTTACGTGTGTGTAACATGATACAGTAGAACCTCTCTATAGTCATAATGTTGGGACTAACTAAATTTATTAATATTAGGAGGTTATAACTTAATAGAAGTGTAGTTACAAGAATTATTGTTTTGATTTTTGATTTTATAATTCATGTTTTAGTAGTATTAGGATTTTAATTCATTGTTTTAGTAGCATTAGGATAGTATGAAAATAGATATTAAAGAGTCATCACAAAATTAAGTGATCAGGTTTGACAACTTCACTACACTAATCAAATGAATATTAATATCTTCATTAATCATCCAAATGAGCAATAAGTTGTATATGCTTTAACTGAAGAAGAAATCATTATTAGAATTAGACAAGAGGAGGAAAAAGATAATCCTGAGGATGAATATAGTATGGAAATATTAAAAGTTTAACGCCAAGAAGCTCTAAACATGTTTGAGAGCTCGAAATATTTTAGTTTCAACAAAAAGGTGTTTATGTTGGCGACCTATTACGTACCCACAAGATAAAAGATATGGTAACAACTCTAAAGTATAAATAATTGTCTCAAACAACTTTAGATAAATATTTTATTTCATCTTAAACATTTAATGTAACATAACATATATTTTTTTATAATATACATACAATTATTACTATATAGAGACAAGTTCTTTAAGATGGGACTTAGAAAAACTATAACTTATTATAATGTGAAATTTATTCTTATTTATAATTGACTTAAATTGGACCATAATTACGTGAAGATTATTCTTATATAAAATATCAAGGTTGGATTGTATATTTATCTGGTGGAAGATTCGATATGGATTGCAATACGTCTGAAATTCTCAAAGGGTTGGTAGGTTAGAAGAATGGAACAAGTAGCGTGTGGAATTGCAGTACGTGTGCTCAACGAATTGACCCGCATACACTTTTGGAAATTAAGTTTGCTTTCAGTTTGTGGGAGGCTTCCCTCTTACTTGCAAGCAAAGAATTGCTTTTCAAAGTATGATCAAGACTTACACAGGAATTAAGACAACACAATTTAAATATGCAAAATATGGTAATGGAATCCAAGAAAATTAAGTTTTCTTTTCCTCCTTTTCATATCACAAACAAAAAAATTTCACAAATAATCCAAAACTTTTTGCATTTTTGGCATTAGATTTACAATTCTAGGTTGCCCAATAAAAGAGAAATTGTATTAAATAGCACTATTTTGAGGTCTAAGTTTAAAACTAGCACTTTTTGGAAAGTCTCTCACAATATAACGTAATTCCATTTTACGGACGAAAATGCCACTTTTGACTCTTTCTTCAACCTTAAACCAAAACTCATCCTTCAACCCTTAAAACCCATTTAATAACTACAATCCCTACTAAATCAAAGGATATTTATGTAGATGGGTGGTTAATCTTGGTTGCTTGGGTTAATTTTTAGATAGGCATATTGAAAATTGAAGGATTTTGATGTTTTTGACGAAACTTGGAACTGCCTATTGGTTGAATTCGACCGTTTGGACAGCCCAAGGTTGAAGACGATGAAAAAGGGTCGATACCAGCTGAAATCGACCGATAAGGGTATCAAACACTTTCTTTTGGTTGATAGGGAGTATTTGTAATTTAAACCGGTTGTCACCTCATTTGAACAATATAAAATAATCCTCTATGAAAAGTTCAGATACCTCTATAGGTAGGAAAAGTGTCCATACCCTTTATTGGCCGGTTTCAACCATTTTTCGTCGTCTTCAACCTTAAACTGCACAAATAGCCGAATCTGAATGAATCCGGCTGATACCCTCTGTCGGCCAAAAAATGCAAGTCCCTTTCCACCATCGAAAGCCATTAAAACCACCTACATTCGGACCATCAAACAACAGTTAACCCAATCTTACATCCTAAACCAACAACTCCATCAAAACCCTAAATCTAAAACAATACAACAAAATCTTAAATGCAAATCAAATCGACTGAAATCCGTGACCAAATTGAATAGCAAAACCGGTTTATAGGTTGGCTTTTCAAAGTCTTCAATGGAGGGAATGGTTAAGATGGGTTTGAAGAAGATGAGTGAACGTTTAGAGTTTACTTATATACGACGGCTTTTTGGTCCTTCAAATTTGTGTAAAATTGGATTGTGCTATTTGTTGAAAAAGTTCTAAAAAAGTGCTAGTTTTCAATTCCCTACCCAAAATAGTGCCATTTTATATAACTCCCAATAAAAAGGTAAAATAGATTTTAATCAAATATTTTTTTTAAATAAAATGAATGGAATTTTTGGATTAGCTTAGTTTTTGAAAATTCTTTTGAAAGATATTGATATGGATTCTTGTAGATTTTGGATATAATTCTTATCCAATCAAAGACAGATATTCATGTATTGGATATTTTCAAGTACTGTAAAATAATTCCCAGTATTTTCAACAAAATTATCTTTCAAACACAGGCACCTTAAAGAGCTTAAATCTTGCTCTGGGCTTGTTGATTGAAGCCCATAGTCCATTACTCTGTATGGAAGCCAGGCTCAACTTCAGCATGAAAGAGTGTACTGTTGATTCCTTTCTATAGAAGCAAACTTTCAAGTAATTTTTCTTCCCTAAGATGAAGAAAAGGCAAATCCTTGGCAACCCAGCTTGCTTATAAGCAATTAATAAGGTTTATGCAAACCTAATCTGAATAAGAGAAGTGCTAGTGATAAATGTGGATGTAACAGTCACTTGCTTTCCTCGCGGCACTGTCCATTTTAAATCTAATAAAATATATTTTTTAATTATTTTAGATCTATGTCGCGAGGAGGCTGACAACTATATAATTGTTGCCAACACTCCTCTATAAATAATCTGTAGTAAGCTAAATTTAAAGGTAGAACAATAAATTTCTTCTATCCCTTCTTTAAATTGTTAAGAATTCTATATTGAAGCTGAAGATCAAAACCCTTAAATGCAGAGTTAGCCAGAAAAAGACTTGAGTCACAAGCAAAATTAACAGTGGAATATATTAGACCCGCCATTAGGCTTATAAGTTCTCGATACAAAAAATTTAAAGGGGGTGGTGGTCAATATAACACATCAAACAAATCTATCAATTCAAAAAATGGTACAGAATTTGTGAAGCTAGAACTTCATGTTGAGAACTTTACCTAGGGGCTGATATATTGCTGGTAACTTTTCATATGTTGGAAAGTTTTGTACTTGAGGTGTGGAATCCTCCCTGAGTGCAGCAAATGCAGCTTTTCTCTTTTGCCTTTGCTCTCTCCACTTCCTTAGCTGATCCTCAAGTGCTAGTTTAGCTTTCTCAGCTGCCTCAGCCCTCGTAACAGCCTGTTCTAGTCGATTTCGGAACTCCCCAATTTTCATCATTGCGACTTCTAGCTCTTTCTTCACCATTTCCACTTCATCATTGCCTTCAAAATCATAAGAATTTTCCACCAATGACATGGGAATTTGATTTTCCATCTTTGCGTTTTTTTTTAAGAACTCGTATTCTTCATACGAAATAGTTATATGGACATCATTCTCACTTCTTCCCTCTTCAGCTTGAGTATTAACAAAAACTGATTCGGATTCTTCTACTGCCTCATCTGCTCCTTCTTTTGGCTTTTGATTTTGCTTCTTCGCCTTTTCTGCTTTGACTGCCAGTTCCTGAACTGCAAGATATAGTCCTGATTTAATGTTTTCGGCTCTTGCTTCAGCTGCCTCTGCTGCTGCAATTTTTGACCTCCCTTTATGAAGCTCAGACTTGAGCATTGCTATCTCAACTTGTGCATCATTCTCTCTCGCCTTAACTTCATTCATCTCTGTTTTCGCCCTCTGCAACTCATCAGTAAGCGTTTCAACACTAGATTTCAAACAGCCTATTTCTTCATTTGAATTCTTTAGTTCTAATTTCAATAGACTCAGTTCCATTTCCAATGCTTCAATGTGAAGTGCTTGATCCGCGTTCTCTCTTACCTTTACTTCCATATCTTCTTTTAATTGTTTCAAAACTTCAATGGCATCAGAAGTAGCCCTATCTGATGAACTAAGTAGCTCAGCTGATTGCTTCAGTTCCAATTGCAGCACATCAACAAATATGGACTTGGCTAATAGTTCACTCTCCATTTCTTGCGTAATTTCCAATTGCTTTTTCAATCCTTCTAGCTGCATTTGTGCTTGAGCTGCATTTACATTAGCTAATTCTATCTCAGCCTCTTTCTCAGACAAAAAATTGCACTTCTCTTCCTCGGCGAGCTGTGACATAAGAAGAGCTTCATTGAGCTCCACGACACGCCTTAAAAGCTCTTCCGCCTTCTCCTTTTCCATACTCGCAGCACTTTCCATCAGTTCAGCTTCTGTTATTGCCTTGAACTGCAAATCTCTAGCAGAAGCAAGTTCTGTTTCCATTCTAATCAGCTCTTCCTGTGCAGCCTTCAACTCATTCAAGACATGTAAAATTTGCTCGCGGATCATTGCAGTTTCCGAAAGCTGATCAGCCATCTCCTTCACTTTTGATTCAAGTTCATCTATATAATATTTAGCTCCCGTAAATTGTTCTATGTTCTTCCCCCTCTCATTCTCAGATTGCTTCAGCAGAGTGGAAAGTTCCTCAGATATTTTCTCGTAGTGTTCTAATTTGAGAAGGACTTGCTTGTATGCAAAGTCCTTGGCTTCCAATTGCAGCTTGCAGTTGGCTAAATCCTTCATTAGCCCTTCAACACTCTTCTCCTTTTCGTTCTCCGACTGATGAAACAATTACAACAAGCAAATAACCAATGTCAGAACCTCAACTATTCATAGATATTGATAAAAAAATTATCACATAAAAGATTCAAAATTGAGTTTCAACATCTGGGTTTGTGATCAATCAAGCAACTATTATAAAATTTAAACTTTGAATATACAAAAAATCTTACATCACTCATGGGAGGCTTGTGTTTTCCCTGATCACCAGACTCGCCGAAGAAAGACAGTGCAACTTGAACTGGTTCAATGGATTTGGTATCAATCTCACCCATAATTTTTCTGAACAAGAAACTATCAGAAATTGTCCTTAAAACACTACAAATTCCAGTTAAACAGTAGAAGCATTATGAGTTATTAGGGTTACTTTAAACTATATAATCACTTTTCAACTGTAATTAACTTCATTACAAAGTAAATCAAATTCCCAGTTGGTAGCAATTAACAAAGGTAAACCAGTCCCAATTCTAAGGAATGTTAATGTGAAATAATTTCCAAAAGCAAATAAATATAAAGCTTTGCACATAAGAAAAAATGATGCTCGATCAAATAGTGTATCCATGCAAGTATGAAACAAAATTAATGTCTACGCTACATATTGCTTCTGGATCACAGTTTCCTAAATGATTTTATTTCTAATATTATTATCCCTTGTTTGGTAGCCGGGAAAATTTGTTTTTATTTAAAAAAAAATTGTAAGCAGTTAGTAGAAAAGAAAAACCGCAAATATTTATGTAAGATAACTACGATTGAGGTGAAGATAAGTTAAATATAACTTATCCAAGCGGAACTCTTAAATCAGTTACTCATCTTTTCATGACATTTTCTCATCAACCAAACAAAATAAATTAATATTCTAAAAAACTGGGAAAGAAAGAAAGGTACCTGGAGGAGTCCTGGAAAATTTGAGAGAAAAAGAAGAGAAAGTGTGGAAGAAAGAAGAATCATAGGATAAAACATAATTGTGTTTTCTTGATTGTATGTTGGTGAAAACGAGGTTGTTTTGTCTGAATTTGATATTTAAAAGTGAATGAACAATGTTGGATCTGCGAATTACTTTGAAGTTATCGATGGTTCAGAAGTTAGTTTGTGATCAATGTGTTTTGTTTTGTTTTGCATTTTGGCGGCCTTTTAGGATTTTTTTTTTTTGGGTTAAAATAAATCAAGTGCCCTGTAGAATTGTAACTGTTGGTGTTCAACGAATAGAATAAAATAATTCAGTTTATTATTATATTTTGACAAGTCTTCAAGCTTATCTCCAAATCCAAACAAGTTAAAAACATATTTTTCAGGATATAAATAATTTATAATTTTAAAATGTTTTTCTTATTTTAGAGGTATTAAAAATAACAATATATCAATTCATATTAATATTTTTTTATTGGAAGTGTTGAATGGGTGTTGTTGGTGGTGGGACTGATGGTGTTTCATGGTAATAGTGGTGCTGGTTGTGTGATCGGCTACGGTGGGGATTGTTGCTATGACATGTGCACTTGAATCGTGCGTGTGGGATGTGTTGGTTTGGGTGGCGGTAAGGTAGGGTTGTTGGATATGGAAACCTAAGGGTGTTAAAGTCATTCACCCGTTTTTCATTGAAACTATCGAAAATTTCTTAACAACGGGGTGTTTTTGCATATTACTGATGAGTAATGCTATACCCACAATCTCTCTTTACAAACTTTTTCTCACAACCTCGATTTGATAGCTCGTAATTGGTCAGTCACAATTTATCAAGTGAGACCTATTATGAATTAACCAATTACGAGCTATCACGTCGAGGTTGTAAGAGAAAGTTTATGAGAAGAGTTGTGAGTGTCGCGTTTTCCATTATTGATATCTGATAGTGTACCTTTTGTCACCGATATTTCGTTGAGATTACGGAAAATGTCCAAACCTTGTGGGGTTTTATGTTATTTCTATAAATAAGATATAAAATTATTGTGTAAATGAGTAAAAAGAGACGAGGCTCGCAGATATTGAGGAGTTTAAACCCAACTAGAATCTGGGCTAAGGAAGAGAAATGGCCCAAACCAGTTCCAACCAAATCAAACCATATACATTTATTTAATTTAAGCTTATAAAAACAAATAAAAAAATCTTAAACAGAACAACTGTAATACACTAATATCCAGCAAATTCTTGGAGCATTTTAATTTTATATTATCATTGAAGTGTATATGTTTGTGGTAAGCTGTCCTTGTCTAACTTATCTTACAAAATAATTTAACATTTTAATTTTGATTATACCAATCATTAATATTTAATTTGCGTAAACAACTTTTTCCCACCCAAGGTTTGCCTTAATGACATTTACCACCCAAAAAGTTTCAAAATACTACTTTTCCACCCAAAGTTAATATTCCATTACTACCCAAAGCCAATTTCAGCGGCGAAAATTCTCTCCGTCACCATTATTTGAACTTTCGGTCTCCTCTCTACAAAACCTCTCTCACTCCAGCACCTGATCTCTCACTGATTGTCGGCCATCGCAAAATTAGGGTTTCCTGTTCTTAGCTAATTTTCGGCTAATTTCGACAGTGAATATTCAATTGGTCACCACTATTCAATCCACCTGCCTCCACTCTACAAAACCCTTCTTGTCGTGGCTCTAGGTAACTCGCCGAACGCCGGTTGAAAAAGTGAAGTGTATTTTAGGTATTAAAGGAATATAACGTTGGGTGGGAAACTGGTATTTTGAAACTTTTTTAGTGGGAAAGGTCGTTTACTCTATTTAATTACTATTTCACTTAAATTTCAATCTCACATTATTGTCTTCATTGATTTTTATTCCATTCAAATTACTTTATTTAATGAACCAAAACTTTCTTTAGGTGCTCATTAGAAGAATACTTAATTCATAATTAATATTTGGAGTTTATTGCAGGAACTATATAATAATACATCACATGATGTACAGATAATCTTGTATACAAAGAGAAAATACTACAATTAAAAGTTAAGTTAAGAAATATTAATAGAATTTGCACAGCTTTTGTTATGGTGACATGTAATTTGTTTTTGGTGGAAAAGAGTGTCATATTCTTGTGAGGTGGTGAGTTATTTCTCATTTTTGTTAATCCATTGCTTCTCATTTTCTTCTTCCTCTTCCTCTTTGTCTTTCCTTCACTGACAATTAAGATTGAGTGGAAGCAATGGACAAAGCTCTAACAAAAGCTAGCAGTTTCTGGATTTCCAAGAAAGCTAAGGAAGAACTCTCTAACATCACTCAAGACCTCTCTGTATGTCTTATCTTTACTCATAGATTCTCTCATTTTACTTTGTAAAACTTGTTTTTCTTAATGCCCATATGCCATTTCTACAATATTTTCCTGCATTTTCTCCAGCATTTGTATCAAATCTTGTTTTCTTGTTCTGGAGAGTGCATGCAGCTTCACCAAACTTTTGTTGTCCATTTGTTTTTGTTTTTTAGTCTATAATTCTAGCTTTCTTGAACATCCACAGTTTAAACTGAAGTGGGATCTTAAGGATTTAATTTCTTTTAGTTATTGGATATTGAAGGGGATATTTATGTGATTAACATTCATCTGATGTGAGAATGAGTTAGTTCTATATGGTTAAGTGAATGGGAATATAAGTGGAAGCATTTTCAAATTTTGAGTTGTATAAATGTTCTTCTGAAAAGTTTACACAGACTGAATGTGTAAAATGCAATTTTAGAATCCTTAATTCTGGATGCTTTGAACTTCATAATATGCTAGTGATTCAATGTTGCCTTGCAGAATTGCTACAATGGAAGTGTTTTCCTGACAGAGCACATAGTGTCATGTGATGCTTTCAATTACATTCTAAGAATTGCTTCCAGACATCAATAGGATCTCATTAAGTTGCATATGTAGTAGTTCATTTGCATTTGAATTTTAAGAATAATTGTTGAAAATCAAATAAGATGATGTCTTTCGACACAGCATATACTCATCCATGCCTGCTCTTTCTTATAATTCCAGTCTTTATCAAACACCGTCGAGGAGAAAGCAAAATGGATAATCAACAAGCTCAAAGGTATAATTCAATCTAATTGCCATATGTTAGGCTCAGGCCATTCAGAATCTGCAGTTCTAACATTTCTTAGGGATATGAACTCCATGTTTTTGTCCTCACAGGTAAGCCGGTTAAAGCATTGCCTGATCTACTCAGAGATCACAACCTTCCCCCTGGTCTGTTCCCCCGGAACATAATATGTTACGAATTCGATGAATCGAGATCGAAGCTGATTGTATACTTGTCCTCTCCATGTGAGGTGAGCTTCAAGGACTCATCCATTATAAGATACGGGACGCGCGTGAAAGGGACATTGTCAAGGGGAAAGCTCAGTGGAATAGAAGGAATGAAGACAAAGGTAGTCGTGTGGGTTAAAGTCACAAATGTGGCAGTGGAGAGCTACAAGTCTGATAAAGTTTGGTTCACTGCTGGTGTGAAGAGGTCTAGACCAAAAGATGCATATGATATGCCTCGTGACGCGATCAAAGTGGAAGAGTTTTAAGGCTCCTTGCATGTTATTCATTTATGCATTTATTATTTGGTTTTCAGGGGCAACATTGGTTTGTTGTATGCCATACCAATGGAATATATCAATATTGTTTCTGCTTTTGTCTGATTTACAGGTTCAAGTTGGTTTGTAGAATCCTGAAATGTTCACAACGAACTTTAATTCATCAGCTTGTAACAACCCGTTACTGAAAATCCAATTTGCAAGACAACAAAAAGTCAAGTTGTAATGAAATCTACCCATGGGCTTAGTCTGGTGGTTAAGGATATTTGCTTTCTTCCTGAGTTTTGGGATTTGAATCTTGGGACATCTACCATAATAATTGTAGTTTACATTTGAACTTGTAGGATCTGTGCAATAGACCCCAAAAATTAGTTAGGTGCACACAAACTGCCCAACATCCCAGTTACCAAAATAAAAATAAAAAAATTGTAATGAATACTTGTTGAAGAATCATAATGTATGGAAAGAACATCTTGCATCTTCAAATCCATTAGAAATGTTGCTAAAAAGGTGGTCATAAAACTCATCGGGCCATCAATGTATGAAAATGACATCTTACAATCTTCAAAGTCCTAACTCTTATTCGGTCGATAGTTTCAAGTCTCGAATAATAATGAGTATGAGTAAGTTGGCTCAGACACTCCAATCATAAAAATAAAAAATAAAAAATAAAAAATAAAAAATAAAAAAAAAAATGTATAAAAGGACATTTTCCATCTTCAAAGTCCTATAGCTTTTATCTAATATATAGTTTTAAGTCCAAAAATTTGTTGAGGTATGCGTAGCTTGGCCAAACACTCTCGTATTAAAAAACAAAAAAAAAAGTCACATTAGAATAATCCAACAAAAATCTAAAAAAACATTACAATCAGAATATATTGATGCGAAGAATAATTCCAAAAAATATTCTTTCTATTTTGGTAAATTTAGAAATTACAATTAATCATAGGGGTGAGCGGGTTCAAGGTATCCTCTATTTTTCGGGGGAATCGGAACGGAAGCCACAATACAAGTTCCAAAAAAAGGAACCAGAACCAGAACCGCTCAATGCAGGTTCTTCAATTCAAGGAATCGGAACCTAAAATGCAGGTTCCGGTTCCTTTCCAGGGTACCCTGTACAAAATTATACCCCTATTAGTTTAAAAAATGACAAAAAGACCTTAAAAGTTTACAAATACACCCTAACAAATAACTATTTGGGTTAGGGTTTAATTATAATGTAATATTATTAATTAAATTGTTATAATTTAATTAAGTATTGTAATATTGTTTATAATAGAATGTAATTAATAAGTAATCATACATAATTTATAATGTATGTTATAATTAATAAAATTCTAATCATTTAATTAAGTATGTGTTAAATTAGTAAATTACTAATGTTTTAATATAATGTCATAATCAATTAAGTAATCATTTAATTATGTAATATTAATTAATTTATGATCATACTATAATAGTATAATGTAATGTTATAATGAATTAGTAATCATACTATAAATCTATATTAATATTATAATTAATTAAATTTAAATCATTTAATTAATATCTAATGTTATAATGGAATGTTATAATTGATAAGTAACATATTATAAATATATAAGGTATGTTTATAATTAAATTTTTAATCGTTTAATTAAATAATGTAATAATATAGTAAATTATTACTATTTATAATGTAATGTTATAAATTCATAACTAATTATGTAACCATTAACTATGTAATGATATAATTAAGTAAGTGATCATAATATAGTAATAAATAATGTTATAATTTAATTGAGTAATTATTTAACTATAATGTAATGATTAATTAATGTATAATGAAATGTATAAGGTAATGTTATAATTAATTAAATTTCTAATCATTTAATTAAGTATTGTGCTAATGTTTATGTAGTAAATTAGTATACTATGTTTAAAACATAAATCATAACTCTAATCAATTAAGTAATCATTTAATTATGTAATGTTAATTAATTATGTGTCATACTATAATGTAAGTTATAGTGAATTAAGTAATCAGATATAAGATTTTAATGTTATATATAATTAATTAAAATTTTAATCATTTAATTAAGTAATGTAATAAAATAATATGTAGTAAATTACTATATTTATAATGTATGTTATAAATTTTAAACTAATTAAGTAATAATTTAACAATGTAATAACTATAATTAATTAAGTGATCATAATATAATGTAATGTAATAATGTTATAATTTAATTAAGTAATTATTTAACTATAATGTATATTAATTAATTAAATTTCTAATCATTTAATAAGTATCATTTGTTTATGTAATGTTATTAATTAATGTTATAATATAATGTCATAATCAATTAAATATCATCTATTATGTAATGTTATAATTAATTATATAATAACTAATCATACTATAATGAAATAGTGAAATGAATTAAATAATTACTATAAATCTTTAATATAATATTATAATTAATTGTTTATATATAATATTACAATTAATTAAGTAATCATTTAATATAATGTAATATTCAATTAATTACATAATCGTACTATAAATTTATAATGTAATGTTGTAATTAATTAAATTCTTAATCATTTAATTAAGTATTATGTTAATGTTTATGTAATAAATTAGTAGTTATCAATATTATAATATAATGTCATAATCATTAAGTAATCATTTAATTATATAATGTTATAATTAATTAATAATCATCTATAATGTAATGTTATAGTGAATTAACTATTAAGTAATTATACCATAATTTTATAATTAATTAAATTTTTAATCATTTAATTAAGTTTGTATTCATGTTTATAATAAAATGTTTAATTGACTAAGTAATTATACTATAAATCTATAATGTAATGCTATAATTAATTAAATTTAAATTATAATTAAGTAATATACTAAATGTATAAATTATAAGTCAATTAATTAAGTAGTAATCAATTAACGTAATGCTATAATTAATTTACATAAATCAATTAAGTAATGTTATAAAATTATAATTAATTAAGTAATCATTAAATGTTATAATTGATTAAGTATGATATTTAACGTAATTAGATTTATAATGTTTATATTTTATCAATATAATTAATTAATTATTAATTTATTATAGATATACTTAGAACTTGATAATTGAAGTAAATATTAAATATATTTTATTCAATCAATATACTATTTTTATTAAAAATATTCTTTTAATACATTAAAAATGTAAAACACTTTTAATTGGATCATAATTCCAATTATTCACTTAATTAATCAAAACTTTAATATTAATGTATTTTAATATACTAAAGCTTTTAATATGGTGTAATTTATATATAATAAGTATAATTGTATTCGTATATTTATTTAATTAGGTTATTCTAAAAATTTAACTTTTTCTATTTTAATTTTTTTTATATGTAAAATAATAGAAACCCTCCATTATTCATATTTCACAAATATTTCATTGTAGTCCAGGTTTCAAAATAGGTTCCAAAACAAGTTCCAAACAGGTTTCAAAATAGATTCCAAAACAGGTTCCAAACAGGTTCCAAAAATCAGTTTCAAACCGAGTACCCCCTACAGGTTCCAAACAGGGTACTCTTTTTATAGGTTCCAGTTCTAGTTCCAGTTCCTCCACACACAAGAACCGGAACCGGAACTGCACATTATCGGTTTTAAAAAATTGGAACCAAAACCTACGTGTACAGTACCAATTCTGATTCTCGTTCTACCCCCAATTCCGGTTCTATCCGCTACCCGTGCTCACTATTTAATCAGAGCTTTTGGAATGAGGATCATCCAATCTTCAATGCGGAAGAATAAATAAATATTTAGTCAAACCTCAAGACACACATAGCGTCCATTGAACGCAACATAACCTTTTTATCGACATCAACGGTTCAAAATCTCAGAGGCCCCACTAAATATTCATGAATAGATGAAACCCTAAAACGAAAAACGACAACGCAAACGCAAACGCAAACGCAACACACGGCAACTGTACTATATACATATAAAACGCCACCTATATATTCCTTTTCTTCGTCTGCTCCGCCTTTCTTTTATTACTCTCTCCATCTTTCTCTCAATCGGCCGATTTAACGAGTTGCTGTAACCATGTCGGACGAGGAGCACCATTTCGAGTCTAAGGCCGATGCCGGAGCCTCCAAAACTTACCCTCAGCAAGCCGGTACCATCCGTAAGAACGGCTACATCGTCATTAAGAACCGTCCTTGCAAGGTAAAAACTCAAGTTTTATGTAGATTGGTTTGATTTTTGAGAAGATTTCATCTTTTAATTCGAAAAATCGTAGATTGAGGTATGTAATTGTTTGTATGTTTCTTATATTTTAATCTGTTTGGGAGTTTTAGATTTGTTTCTTTGTTTTCAATTCATGTTTATTCGAAACATATTGCATGTTTTATGTTTAATGATTTCATCTTTTGTGAACTTGATGATACTATTGTTACTTGTGGATTTGAATTGAGAAATGTCCAATTTATTTTAGCTTTCTTTTATGAATTTAATGATGCTATGGTTTCACTATCTATGAGTTTTATTTAGTAGGTTATGAATGTTGATTGATTTGTTTTTAGGTAAATTTAAATTGACCAACTCTGAGGTAGCCTAATTGGGGGTTTTTATCTCTTCTATATTTGAGTTTGCAATTGGTTTTAGATAGTGTGAATTATTTGATCATAAAGATTGCTAGATCATGATCATGTATTGTGAATTGTCACAGGTTGTGGAAGTTTCCACCTCCAAGACTGGCAAGCACGGTCATGCTAAGTGTCACTTTGTTGGAATTGATATCTTCAATGGAAAGAAGCTTGAAGATATTGTCCCCTCGTCTCACAACTGTGATGTATGAAGTAACTTTGTTTTTGTTCATGTCTTTCTGTTTTTGCTCCATATTAGCTTGTGCTCATGTTTTCTGTTTTAACAGGTTCCCCATGTCAATCGTACTGACTACCAGCTGATTGATATTTCTGAGGACGGATTTGTAAGTCTTCTTGCCTCTTCCTTTTGTAGTCTTTTTTATTTGTTTCACGATTTTGATACGTCTCTAACTATAGGTTTTTAACTAAATTAAATTAAATATTTCAGGTGAGTTTGCTTACTGAAAATGGGAACACTAAGGATGATCTTAGGCTCCCAACTGATGATAGTCTGCTGAGCCAGGTCAAATTATTTATCCCTTTTTCCATGTCAGGGAATATTACATTCAATTTCATTTATGAGACTGCTGACTTTCTGCTCAATTTTAGCTACTTTCACTTATTTCTTATGGTGTTTTTGTGTGTATTTTTGTAGAAGTACTAGGAAATTCTTTTTACAAAAGGATTTATCTAGACTTTCTAAAAATGCATTTCAAGTGATACTTTTATTCAAAAAGCAGAATCTATCGAAGCACATGGATGGGTTTTTAGGCCCCAAAAAAGGTTTCCTTTTACCTCAGTCAAATGATATGTGAAATGAATTAATGTAAAGGGTTTTTGATTATTCGAAAGAACCTTTTGACAGCACTAAATTTACTCATTTAACTTGTTTATATGTTTGTGGTTTTTGAATGTGTATTGAAAGCATGTTTTAAATGTTTGGAAAGTTCAACTTATTATTTGCATGTGTTGAATTATTGTTGAATGCAGATCAAGGAAGGATTTGAATCAGGGAAGGATTTGGTTGTGAGCGTGATGTCTGCTATGGGTGAGGAGCAGATCTGTGCCCTGAAGGACATTGGCCCTAAGAATTAGTTTTACCATCTCTGTCATTGTTATGTTTGGTCTTCTATGTTTTCTGAAAAAAAAAAAAAAAAAAGAAAGAAAGAAAGAAAGAAAGAGAGAAATTCTGATCATCTAGATTTTGCATTTTATATTTGAAAATGTTGTGTTATGTTGTGGGAAAACCGTAGCCTGCTTGGAATATGTGGTAGTGCATTTGTGATGGGTGGGTAATTGGTTGCACCTTGTTAAAAAAATTATGGTGTTTTAATTTGTGTAATGAATTAAAATATCAGTGAGAAATGGTTCTTTGGCTTTCATTTTCTTTGTTGATATTAATAGAATGAAAAATGGCCCTCATTTGCATGTACAAGGAGCAAACATATTGGTGGGTAATAAGATTGTTTAGGGGAATTTGATCTTTCTACTCATTTTGATGATTATAATGCCTCCCTTAAATTCCAACTTGTAAGATTATCGAGTCTTAATAAAAAATAATTAAGGATGTTGCATGGAATTTAATCGTAGTTACATTATTTACTACCAAAAAGTAGTATTCTGATGCTTGAAATGTGAGATATATATATATATAATGTTGGGATTATTTGATTCAAATGGTATTTTCTTCAGAGTCAAAGGAACCCAAATAGTTGTATAAATTTTTTTTTTTTTCCCCCAAAACACAAATATATATATATTTGTGTTTTGGGGGAAAAAAAAAAAAATTTATACAACTATTTGGGTTCCTTTGACTCTGAAGAAAATACCATTTGAATCAAATAATCCCAACATTTTGGAACGGAGCTAAACATTTGGTACTTTTGTTACCATTTGTGCCCTAAGGCTAAGGTTGCATTTGGGAGGCAGGATTACATTAGGAAATGATTAAATTAGAATAGTGTTTGGTGAAGTATGAGAGTGAATAAAAATATTTATATTCAAAATTAATTAAAAACTTTTAACTTTTATTTTTAAATTATAAAATACTTTCGTCCTCTAATTTTAATAATAAGAATAATAATCCCGTTGTTCTGGGATAAATTTGATTCCAATTCCAATCTCCAAAACCTTCCAACAAACAAAGAATTTAGTCCAATCTCCAAAACCTTCCAACAAACAAAGAATTTAGTCCAATCTCAGCCCCCATGTGAAAGTTGTATCTTTTACAATTATCAACCAACTTTACATAAGCTTGTATCAGAACATTGTAAAGTTTCCAAGGAAAAAAATTCCAAGTTTCAATATGCATTTACAATTGATGTATTTATCTTATAAGATCAAAAATAATATCACATGACACTCATAAATACTCCATACAAAATGTTTTCAATAAAAATAACCTTTGTAAGTGTAATATTATTCTTAAAATAATTGAGACATTGGATATACAGTAAAACCTCTCTATAGTGATACTCTATATAGGAATAAACTCTACATAGTCATAAAAAATTATATTCCTAATTTGGGATAGTTATAAATAAGAATAAACTCTACATTGTAATAAGTTATAATTTTTCTAATTTCCGTCTTAATGAAAGTTGCCTCCACATAGTAATAATTATTTGTATATTGCAAAAAAAAATATGTTATGTTACATTAAAGGTTTAAGATGAAATAAAATATTTATCTGAAGTTGTTTGTGACAATAATTTATGCTTTAGATTTGTTATTACATATTTTAATTTATGGGTACATTACTCACCAGCATGGACATTTTCTTGTTAAAGCCAAAATATTTCTAACTTCTCAAGCATGTTTAGAGCTTCTTGACATGAAACTTTTTGTATTTCCGTACTATCATCCTCATAATTATTTCCTTTCTCTTCTTGTTTAATCGTAGAAATGATTTATTCTTTTGTTAAAGCATGCATGACTTATTACTCATTTGGATGATTAAGGAAGACATTAATATTCATTCGATTAGTGTAGTGAAATTGTCAAATCTGATCACTCAATTCTACAATGACTCTTTGATTTTCCTCATCCACTTCATTTGTAACTTGCAATTCATCCACATCGGGGGTCTTAATTTTTTAATGCTTAAAACAATTGGCAATTGTCTGTGGCTTCACATCAGTTGCCATTAAAGGTGGAACAAATGGACTGGGTTAGGGGGGTCAACCCTAACCCAGCCCACATTAGAAAGGGTTCAACCTGGACCGCCTTATAGGCGAGCCGGGTTGAACCCAACCCGCATGCAACCCTCGGGCGGGCCGGGTTGCTATATGGCAACCTGCCAACCCGGCGGGTTGCTATTTTGTTTGCATTAGCCAACCCCAAAAAAAATAAAAATAAAAAATAAAAAATTAATTATTTTTTTCAAGTTTCCCCTATTTTTTTAATTCTTTTAATTAAACTATTATGATTGAACTCTTACAAACAAATAATTTTACACAATAATATTAAACTATACTTCTAAATCATAAATATTAAAATGTATAAAACTTCGCAATATTTGACATATTGTTATTATTAATTTTTTTGGGAATGTAAAATATAAAAAAAAAATACTAAAGTCTTATTCTCAAATTTCCATGTCTTGTATAAAATATAATTCATTCTTCTGCTAAAATTTCATCAATTGAATGAATAAATCTAATTTTTCTTATACTACAATTTTATTGTATTAAAATTAAATTAATATTTGAAATGTTAACAAAAAAAAAAAAATTAATTTAATTGAATTATTGATATTTGAAAAGTTAACTAAAAACAATTACATTTATTCATTTATAAATTGTTAATTATTTATTTGAAAAGTTAAATAAATAAAATAAAAAAATAGGGCTAACCCGGCCCGGCCCGCGTAATGACTGCTTTCTACTCGTATTTTCATAAAATATGCATAGTAAAATACATGTAAAATAGTATAAAAAGTTGGGCCCAAATTTTTCTTTTACTAAACATAGACATTCTTTGTACAAAACTCATGTCATATACAAAACTATGAACAATAAGGTGGATATTGTAGCCATTTCCCCTCGCTTGCCGACATCCATCCGACCATGTCCTCACCTAGATCCTGCAAAAATATAGGAAACAACGGGGTGAGCACAAAACAAAACTCAGTAAGTAAATCCTCTACCCATCTATCCCCGTAACTCTTTCCCCTCAATTCTTTCCTTACAATTCCCATTACTCTCTTTGCTTTCTCTTTCGGTTTCACTCTCTCTGTTTCTCTTTCTTAAACCTCTTTTCTATTAACTCTCTCTCTAATAAGTCACGACCCCATCTGACCGGAGGCACGGCTGGGACTCACTACCACTCTTCGTGACTTTTACTCATTCTAGCCGATCGGACTCGGTTATGCATGGATTCGGAACCCTTGGCCATCTGAGTACATAAACTCTCTCTTGGGTAAACTCGGGTATAGCCCTCATCCGCATGCACTCTCACGGGCTACACCACTTATCTCTCATACTCATGCCGCTCTCTCAATGCGGCGTACATGCGGGAATACTCTACCCATTACTCATGGGTTCCCCATCGCACAACCTACTCTATTCTCTTGTCTAGCACTACTTTCTCTTTATTCTCTAGTACTCATTCTCTCTTTCTCTTTACTCTTAGAGTAGTTTAAACTCAATTTCTCTACTCTCTTTTTCTAATGCATAATTAATGCATGATTACTGCACATAGGTGACTCATGCTCATTAATGCACTTATGAGATGCAATTATGCTATGTAGCAAAAATTAAGGCTTTCTACTCTTACTCATGCTTCTCTTGAGCATTTCATCATGCAACTTATGTGCATATAAAGCTTTACTTTAATTATAACTTTTCTCTTTTCTTTAATCATCCAAAATGGGAGAAAGGCTCCCTTATACTCTCTAATTTCCCTGTCAAAGGGAAACACTTCTATAAGTTTGCTCAAAACTTCATTCCACTTCAATCAAACTCAACCCAACATCAAGCAACCTCAACACTTCTACGTCCATCTCAACAAATATAAAACATACATATACATACACAATCTCTACTCAATTAAATTCCCAAATCTCAACTTAGTTAGGATTTACTTACCTTGTGAGGAAATAGCTTCTCTAATACTTCTCATTTCCTTTGGTAGCTTGATTTTTCTCTACAACTTTAAATAACAATCACAACATAAGACTTTAACCAAAACATAATAAAACTCTCATCTAAAGCAAGAATCTTTACCTTAGGATGCTTTAGATTAAAACTCTACTAAAAACTACTCAAAAAGTCCTTAGAAATCCTTGGAAGATTGAAGGAAATTTGAAAAGAAGTAGAGAATGGAAGAGGCGGTGGAAATGGATGAAATGAAGGATTCTCTACACTTAACCCTTTTTAGCTCAACTTATACACAAGCATTCCCATTTTGCCCTTACTCTTTCTTAGAAATTCTATCCATATCCTTTGATTCCTTACAAACACACTCCCATACTAACATATTTTTCATGAAATTTTCTTACATTTTACTTCCCACTTTTCCTGCTAATTAGGGGTAGAATGATCAAATTGCCCTTAAAGAAAAATATCAACAACTTTTCAGCCGACCCATTGGCGCGGCGAAGACAATTCCGTCGCTGCGGCGAAACACTCCAGCAGCTACTCCGTGGCTGCAGCACCTCTTCACTGCGGCGAAGATTCTTCTTCGCCCCGGTGAAGCCTGTAACACAACATTTCGTTAAGTCTTCATAATTTTCAAGGCAATCACTCAACCAACCCAATACATCCATTCAACCAAGGGCCAACCAAACAAAAAATAACAACATATAAGTTTAATTGAAGCTAAATCAATGAACGTTTAAGCAATACAACAAAGCTTAACTACGTACTTCAAGTGGGGCGTTACACCCGTAGCCTAACCCGGCAGGTTAGGGTTGGCGGGTCGGGCTGGGCCAGCCATTTTCCCAAAAATGGCGGGCCTAACCCGGCCTGCCTTTGTTGGCGAGCGGGTTAGGACCAACCCGCCTAATTAAGTAGCCTGCCGCGGGCGGTTCAGGTCGGGCCGGGCGGGTTATTTTTCCACCTCTAGTTGCGATGCAACAATTGCATTTACAATTCCATAAACGACACTTATCTTTGTTGGTTTCAGAACATGATATTCTATTCGTTTCAAAAATAGGCAATTGAAGCGCTGAATTGAAACCCTAATATTATTAGAAACATGAATTGAAATCCTAATATTGTACTACTAAAACATGAATTATGAAATAATTTTTTTTTTTTAACGACACCTCTATTAAGTTATAACCTCCTCATAGTAATAAAATTAGTTAGTCCCACCATTATGACTATAGAGAGGTTTTACTGTAATTTAATAATAGATAATTCAATTACAAAAATAAGTTGTACAATGATTCGCAGTATACAATTATCTTTACCAGCTCTTCATCTCAAACTCAAATTAACACATTTAAAATAGAGTATATGACTTTTTCTCACTCACAAACTTTTAAAATACTACTTTACTATCCAAACTTATGTTTTATTTCCTTGACATTATTGTGATCCCACACCATCATCATTATCTTCCCCGATCATCACTCACTAAAACCCCTCAAACCTTACTCCCGTTAACCCCACCAATTGTCGACAATCGAACAATTAGGGTTTGTCCAACCATCTCTCCCATGTCAAATTCTTATCAACCCCAAGCACCAAAGCTCAACCTTCTAATACTAAAAGACTCATCGGTCTCTTCTCTTCAAAAGCCCAACAGTCTGAACTGAGTTTGCTCTCTTTTCGTCACCAGAATATAAATTTAGGTATTAAAGTGGTCTTTTAAAAGTATGTGGGTAGTAAAGTGTCATTAAACTATTATTTGGGTGAAAAAAAGTTATTAACTCTTTAGAACAAAGAGAAAGACTATATTATGGTTTTTCTCTTTTTAGTATTTCTCCAAGACTCCAACTTATGATTTTTATTTTTAAAAAATTACTAAAAAGCTTTTAAATAAATAGGAAAAAAAAAATCAAATCATTTAAAATGTGTTATGTCATGCTGAACGTATATCTATTGCTTTCAATTCTAAATTATTTATAGAATATTGATTTTAGATAAAAATATCAAATAAACATTTTTTCAAATTCTAAAATATATAATGTGAGTTGATTTCCTTTTTTAATATTTTCACAAAACGTAAAACAAATTTATAAACAACTACCAACCATATTTTTATAAAACTATAAGAATTGCTTTTTATGTGAAAAAATTTAAAATGTACTCCTAAATTTAGTATTTATTAAAAAAAAAAAACCAGACATACGGCCTAAATAGTTTCGTCCCGATCCAAATTTTTATTTTTAATCAAATTATAATTTAGATTTTCAACGTAAAGACACAAAGTTGACGAATTTCATTGACCATTGTTGTGGCAACAGTACGAGTAATTAGACATAATTCAGAAAAATGAATTCTTCATCTTCCTCGCCTCAGCGTTCTCGAAGCAATAACAACCGTGATGACAGGCCGAGATTCTTTGACTCCAAAACCAAGAGCAAGTGTTGGGAAAACGCCCCTACGGTTCCGGGTCGACACCCAGAGAGGTGGCGCAAAGATGCTGCTGATAACATAGTCTGCAAGCGCTTCTGTAACTGCCATGGCTGCCTCTGCTTTCAGTACGATCACATCGTTCCCTTCTCTAAAGGTTACTCACTATTTAGGGTTTTCTGTTTCTGGGTTCTTTATTGAGTGACTTCAACTTATATTTTAGTTTCAAAGTTAGCATTTTGTGGTTCATTCTTTAATGGTTTTGTGGGTTTTCAATATATTAAGAGTCTAGATTATGTTCGGCTGGATTTTGAGCAGAAATTGTGGGGATAAGGAGCAAACTTGGGGTTTAAAATGTTATCTTGTTTTATTAATTGAAGGTTAAAAGCAAGTGATAGCTAAACTGGGTTTGATTGAATAATGTGGCTTACTTGATGTGAGACTTTCAATGTTGTAAAATTTTAACGTGTGAAATAAGACTGCAATTGTTATTTTGTTTCATTTTAGTTGGTTTTCTTAGTAATGGTAGCGAAGGGATATGATTATTTTATTCTGAAATTTGGTTTTGAGGTTGATTGTGATTTCGGGTTGCATTATAGGTGGGGAATCTACGGTGAATAATTGTCAGATTCTTCAAACTAGGGTGAACAGGTTTAAATCTGACAAAGAGGTGGTAGATAAAACTCAGCTGCAAGGTTACTCTTGCGACGTTAAATTTACTGGTATCTTTGCCTTGTTCACTTTTCTTCAGTTTCACCAATGTGTTGTGTTTTGTTTGACATGTTGATATGGTTTATGTTGTTTCACTTTCATTTTCTGTTCATAATGGACAAGTAAAGTTATATGTGAATCTGAAAACACATATAATTCAGGTTCAAGCATTTATCATTGTGCTGCGTTAACACATGAGATTAGCTGGCCCCCCTGAGTTTCTGTGAGAGAGTAATAATTACGATAAACATCTTAAATCATGTACTCTTTGACATGTTTCTGGGATTGGGGTATAAAACTGGAATAACTTGGTTTGCAGTATTGACAAGGTTATTGTGTCTTAAGAAGGTGCTGAATGCTGATGATGATCTTATTCCAAAATTATTAGCCACCTGAAATCATCTCATTGTCTATTACTCATCTTCAGCTTACTATACGATGTGAACAGCTCTAGTAATTTATGAGTGATTTAGCAAGGAAAAATTTGTGAGATTACAGGGGTTTTTGTAGTATGGCTTCTAAAAGTTGCATGTTTTTTCCTAATCATTGCAGTCAATATATGTGGAAGGTTCTGATATAAAAAATCGCTGCCCAAGATTGCAATGGTATTTTCTGTTCTGTCCATGGATAATTTCTTATTGTAACACTATAACATGGGACAGGTCAAGCAAAGATCCACTCGATCCTGTTATTATATGTTTGGTATGATTGCAATCAATTCCAGGGCCAAAGTCCAGGTCTCTCTATTTTTAAATGTCTTTCTTGAATTCAATGTATTTCTATTACTTTATAATTTACTTTTGTGGTTCATAGAGGATTAATACTTGTAATTATTTCAGTAGGATCTTCCTCTACTGGGATTGTTCGAAAGGGTAGCCTGGATTTTGTTCTCTGAATTTATTTGGGGCATATTCTTATTCCTTGGTTGGGCTTCTTGCTTGCACTTTTTTTTTATTTGTTTTTAACTTTTTGGAGTCTATATTGTGCACATTTTTTGGAATAATAGAAAAAAGTCTGTATCTTGCTCTTATGTGTTAGGATACTCTGCATAATTCAGATATAAAATAAGTATTTAACAATGTTGTATACTTCCTTGTAGATTTCAGTAGTTATACATCATGCCTTTATGGTTATGAAAATGAACCCAAAATGACCCTAAAAATTGGCTGCGTCATAGTTAGTGGTGCAGAGAACTCTTTCAGTTCCAAAAATTGGCTGCATCATAGTTGGTGGAGCAGAGAATTCTATTCCCTAATTTTGTTTTTCTTTAAATCGTTAGGTTGATATGTCATGCATCCTATAGTTGGAGGACTCAAGGGCAGAACTTACTCTTCGCCATCCCCATTTATGAACATACATGAAATATGAGCTTCAGGCTATCCATAACTAAAAATTAATGGAAAATATTGTCATATCCAACCATTCTTGAAATTAAACATGCTTTTTGTTTCTTTCTTTCTTTCATCGTTACTAGTACAAGGATTATTGAATTAGGTCTCCTCCAGATATCAGGCAAGTGCTGATGTTAAGATGTAATATGCTTTAGGATACCAACTATACAGATAAGAGACTAATCTTGGAACTAGGAGCATCTTCTACCACATCCACAATCTTGAATCTTGCATTCTGTACCCACATCCAAAACACAATCAGAGCTGAAATTGACTCTCTACAACTTTGGTTAGGAATTCAGTTCCGTGAATGTTGTGTCAGAGAAAGTCTTTCTTTGCTAGGATATGTGTGATTGTTTTTTGTTTCATGCATGAATAAAACAGTGAACTTGGTTACAGGATGAATGTGACCTTATTTAACATAACACGTGCATACCTCAGTAATCAAACAAGGGGTTAATTAGCGTTTTCAATAGTCATTGCAGTAATAATTTGGCTTGAGTTAGTAATTAGTATATATGGCTTTATCAGTTTGATAGATAGCTTGACTAGTCATTAATTTGGCTAAGATATTTTGAACTAAGACCAACAATAATCCGTGCCATCATTTGGGTGGCCCTTATCCCCTGAAATTGTGACTGCTTTCCAAAGTGATAAGATCGCCATCCATCTATCTTTGGTCCCATGGATCGCAATTAAGACCCTTCATGAATGGCTCAAATCGTTTTAATTTATTCAATACATTGCGGGGAATATGGTTCCAGGCTCTCTCCTCTTGCCTTGCCTCAAAATTCTCGCTTAAGTAATGTCCTGTTATGTACCAAGTCTTCATTACCTTGTTTTATAGCACTTGTTTTTCCAATTGCAGATAAGGAACTTGACATAATTGAGATGGCTGTTTATGGGGATGTGATCCGGCCAGGAAATCAGTGCCGTTGCAAAACTGTGGCGGAAATGCTTGGAAAATACAAGCCGAAAGATCCCTTAGCTGCATGCAAATTGCCACAAGATGGTGAATCGTTGTAACAAAAAAGAATAGTATATTCTGTTGCGGCATTCTTTGCAAAAGCTAAGTGTAGTTATTTCTGAATTTTGAATTTAGAGTCTTGCACACAGTGTGCATGACATTTTGATAGACATTTTAATTGGTATTGTGTTAGCTATCAATGAATCTCCCCTATACCATTTGATCAATTGTTATAAGATTTGGTTCGAATCCTGGCTTTTTAATTCATTAAAATTTAATATTAATGTGTTTCCCTTAGGATCACCTGAATTTATCAGCAGACTTAGCACAATTTGCGATCATAAACTTTTACGATTCAGGGGGACTTCACCAAATTGAATCTGAATTCTAAAACACTTGTGTTTCTGGGAAAATAAACTACACCCAAAAGCATCTATTGCCTGGTACACTAAAATATGATAGTTGCCCTTCAGATAAACAGCATTTTTGGCACGCAATTGACCTGTAGACTCATGAATTCTTGTTCACTGCTGTCATGGCTTAGCTGGTAAAATTGGAGTCTTGTCTTGCTGACACGAAAGTAGTCTTCACGCTGCCCCTTCTCTACTTAATTCTGAAAAAGATCTTCATACTTGCCGTAAAATTTCGATTTTTAAAGTCATCCATAAACACCAGAATAAGTGGTCCAATGATGGAACAGAAATGAAAGTAGTAGGTTGATCGGAAGAAGACAGTTGAGGATCATGTCATATCTAGATGTCTAAATGGGTTATTTTACCACTGAAAGGAGACAGTTGTGAGAAAATGTCAAAATTGTTGGATGGGATCTTCAAAGTTTTTTTCCTTTGAAAGCTGAATTTAGATGAGCTGAGCTGAGTCTCACTTTCACATTCCAGAAGAGCCTCAAAAGTCATATACCCATACACATGAATTAACATTTTTAATCAGAATACCATATCAAATTGACCGCAGCTTCTTGGGATGCTACCGACCAATTTGTTGGTTGGGCACTTGTCATCTCAAGAATCATGGTTGTCTTGTCTTTGAGATTAGATGGTGGGTATTGGTTATTCCTTGACTTAATTTAAGTCTATAATTTGTTATTTTATACATTAAATCAATAAGATCCCATCATATAAATTAAGAGATTTTGTTATTTTATTAAGGAAATGTTGTGTGATTCTTTCCTAGAGATAAACATCCGGTTACAATCCAATCTTATAAATTTTTTATCACAATCCCAACGTGATAGTTCACAATTGGTTAGTTTATAATTAAAAATACTGGACTCATAGTGAGCAGACGAGATCCATTTGTGAGCTGATCAATTACGAGTTATCATATCGAAATTGTAAGAGAAAGTTTGTGAAATTGGATTATAAATATAGTATTACCTCTTTCCTAGTATCCATCGTGTAATTAAAGAAAAGTTTACATACATTACATGAGAAAAATCATTTATACAAGTGGGTGTTAAATAGAAGAGCAAGAGCATTCCCACTTCAACCAACTAATACTATACTGAAAAGTGTAGACATTGTGGGGGTGGGGTTCCCATACTCTTATCTCATGATTTTCATTTTGATTAAGAAAAAGGTTTGAGAAATTTGACAAAGTGGTAGATATAGGCCTTGAAAAAATTTGTTGGTCTCTTTATTTTAGGTAGTGATAGTGTCCCTTTCTTCAAATCTCATTTTCAGGATATTGGGGAGAAATGATAGTAATGATAAACAATAATAGCAGGGCAAGCTGGCATACATAATTTTCTTAAGAGAAAATTGATTTTATTAGCTTCCATTGACCCAACTCATATAAGTACAAGAAGACAAGAAAGATTGGACAATCAAACGTTTTATATTGGAGGGTGCATGCTATTATGTTAATCATTTTCAATAAGCATAAATGGTAGACAAACACTAGTGTGTGTTGAAGAATCTCTATGCCTTGCCTTTAAATTATCTTCTTATTGATACTACCATCTTAATTATTAATAAACTCCTCTTAGTTAACAAGATTTTTATTGAGAGTTCATTACTTTTAACATTCTTCTATCCAAATTCATAAATCCTATAATAGATATTATTTGTTTTAAATTGCATAAATTTACACTTTCCTTTACCCATAACGGGTCCACCCAAGGTTTAGCTAAATGACAAGTTCCCACCCCTGATTTCATAAATTCTATATTCCCACCTTTAAATTTACAGAAAATCGTTTAACGTAACAATCAAAGGATAAAATGGTCATTTGCATTGTATTAAATCTAAAATAAAAATAAAAATTTCAAAATAATCCCCCACTTCTCAAAGGGTAAAGTGGCTGGGTGGTGCCTTTGGGTGAGAAATTTTGTCAAACAGTGGTAGGCGGGTTGGCTGTGGGAAGGTTGGAAATGATAGGGAGTCGTCAGCGATCAGGTAATTACATACAACAACAATCAAATATCAACAATAATCAGTAGGGAACATTTGTTATTGTATTTTATTCATTAATGAAATGACTATTCTTGTAATTAATGGAAATGAAATTTGACAGTAGATACTGTTGACATGCGAATATGGAATGAGGATATGTGACATTATTCTCATTCTTATTGTATTTTAGATATTATTTTCTTCCCTTTATTATAGAGATTGTATCATTATTGTAATATTTTATATCCTTACATAGTTATCACACTTTTGTATAAATAGGTTGTGTATACTCAATACAATTTACAACAACTCGATACAAACAATTCAATTCAATTGAATACAATTCTTGTCGTCTCAAACATATCTCTCGAGCATACTCCGATTCTCCTCAATTGCCTCTCTGGCCCTATCAATTATGACATGGTTCACAGCTCCTCTCTCAATTCTAACTTGGTATCAGAGCATCCAAGTTTAAGACAGTGAGTAGCTATTTATATGAATATATGCATGTTTAGGAAAATTCTGTGAACAAAACGATAAATGTTTAAAGAGTCTGGGTTTTAAGTGAGACTGTTTGTGACCCCTCCAGTGTTTCCTGGGAATTTTCCCAATGCATATTTAATCATTTTTAGCACTTACTACTATCCTTAGTTATTGAATTGTTGTCCAATATCTTCCCCAGTGACTCTTGTTGTTCCTTCCTCCTCCAGTACTACTTGTTCTACATCTAATGGCAGACAACACTCGCGTCTACTATGCAAGCTTGAAGGGTATGACTTATACAAATCACAAACTTGAGCGTGAGTGTTGACATGCAAATATGGAATAAGAATATGTGATAGTATTCTCACTCCTATTGTATTTTAGATATTATTTTCTTTCCTTTATTGTAGAAATTGCATCATTATTGTAATATTTTATATCCTTAAGGGGGCGTTTGAATCATATAATGTTTTATTAGAGCGGGAAATTATATTAACGAAATAAAAGATCACCTTGAAGATTACTGGGAATGTTTAGAAAATGTGTTTAGTTGGTTCGAATAAATTGTTGAATAATATGTTTGGTTGGGAGGATAAATGGTGGGTATGTTATATAGATTACTAAATTGCCCTCCTTTTTAAATATTAATATAACAATATTTTTTATTATTATTTTTTGAATAATTTCTTTTAACCCCCTACTTTTCAGATTTAGCAAAAACACTCTAACAACTAAAAATGTTTTAAACTTAACAAAAACACCCCTACCCACCTCAAGCCATTGCCGGCAGCTAGCCACCACCGCTGGCAGTGGCACAAATATGGCTGTGACGCCGACAGTGCCAAATATCTGGCCGTGAAACATCGGCCGTTTCACGGCCAAAGACCTAACTGTTTCATAGCTAAATCAGTTGCTGTTTCATGGCCACATCCTTGGTCGTGAAACAACCAAATCTGGCTTTTTCCAACCATGGATTTGTGATCCATGGTCAGAAAAAAGCCTCACCGGTGCACGACCGGCCATATACGGTCGGTCGTACGCCATTATGGCCACTTGTGGTAGCCTCTAACGGCGGTTGACAGTGGCTGCCGGTGGTGGCTAGTTCTGGGTATAATGACATTTCTGTAAATAATGATAATAATAAGGGCAATGTCGTCCGAAAAATTTAAAAAGCGAGGACAAAAGTGTCTGCATGAGTGATTTGTAAATATTAACAAATATAAAGTTAATTTGGACCAAATGCTCAACTGTTTAGGGGCAACATGGGAAAAAAAATTGTAATACCAGGGTAAGTTTTAATAACAACCCCAACCACACCCCCCCCCCCCTGTATCAAGATTACCGGAAATTTACCCCTCAAATGCTACTGTTTGTCATAAAATATTCCAGAAATAATTTTTTACAAACTAACCAAACATCATCATTTGCTCAATTTAAAAAATATTAATTCAGTTATCTAATATTAACTCGATTCAAACGACCCCAAATAGCTATCACACTTTTGTATAAATGAGTTGTATATACTCAATACAATTCACAACAACTCAATACAAACAATTCAATTCAATTGAATACAATTCTTGCCCTCTCAAAAATATCTCTTAGACATATTCCGGCTCTCTTCAATTGTCTTTCTTGACCTCTCAAAGATATCTGTTGAGAATACTCCGACTCTCTTCAATTGCCTCTTTTGCCCTCTCCAAGATATCTCTTAAGCACACTCCAACTCTCTTCAATTGCCTCTCTTGCCCTCTCCTAGATATCTCTTGGACATACTCCGACTCTCTTTAATTACCTCTTTTGCCCTCTCAATTATGACTTGGTATCAAACTCCTCTCTCAATTCTAACAGATACTTCATGATTAGAGTGATGAACATTGCTTCAAGTTATTGAAGAATTATTACAAAAGTATTCCAGAAGATGGAAAGCTAATAGTTGTGGAAGGAATACTTCCTGTAATGGCTGAGACAAAAGTTGCGTCAAAGGGAGTTTCCCAAATTGAGGTGGTTATGATGACTCAAAATCCATGAAGGAGCAAACAACATGAATTCATGGCATTGGCAAGTTGGTAACTGCAGCTGGATTTAGTGGCAATAGATACGAATGCTTTGTTTGTAATTTATGGGTTATGTAGTTTTAAAAATAGACAAGAGTAATTTGTTTCTGTATTTGCAATATCCAGTGGCGAGGACCTCGCCTAATTTCTTGTAATTCTACTGTTTAAATAAAAATAATAATCTAATCATCGCATCTTCATCTATATATTTGTTGGATGGTATGCTGGGGGGACTTCGTGAAGTGAGTTCAAAGTGCAAACCGTTTACTTACTGAGGAGGAGTTTGAGAGGAGTCTTGGTTTATCCCCCTTGGTTCAGCAAGTGATGCAGAGAGTTGTTGAAGATGGGGGCAACTTGAGCGCAGTCGCGCGAACACAAAAACCCAGGTAGGAGAAATGGGGTTCGACCATGGTTAGGTGGTGGTGGTGGAAATGACAATGGTTTGGTGGTTGGAGATGGGATGATGCCAAGGTTGAAAAAGAGGGTATTATTGAAATAAATTTAATAGTAAGTTGATTATTTTTCCAATTGTACTAATTTGAGAATTCAGAAGTAATTTAATTATTTATTTGTCAAGAACAGTACAATAATAACCTATTATGCACTTGTGTTACAACCTAAAAATGCTAACAGTGTTGATTTAAATGTGGGAATCTAAAAATTATGAAACCAAGAGTGAAAACTTGTCATTTCGTCTACTCTAAGTATACTTATTATACTAGTAAATAAAATATTTATTAAGAGTTCATTATGTATATACTCTTTTAGAACTCAACTCTTTTTTTTTTTAAGTTTCATGCACTTGTCCTTTACATAAAACATTTATACTAAATTACGAGAATTCAAGACTTATACATGGATTGGCATGAATGCAAAATAAATGCTTTCACCAACTAAACAAAGATTTAAAACAATGATGTGTTGGTGTGATGATTGATGAGTAAAGTTGTTGTGAAATGATTAAAAAAAAACAGCACTAGACCTACCTTTGACTTACCCCACTCCTCTCAATTTCTCTCTATTTAATTGGGGCCATCTTGGTTTTGGTAGGAATTTAAGCATATTTCATATTTATAGTGTTTTAAATGTTAGCTCCATCCACAAGTTGTAAAAACCAAACCCATTAATTATTTTATTTAAAACTCAAACACCCCTTTTGTCTCTTACATTAAAGAATATATTTATATATGCATGGATCCAAACCTACTTCTTCTATAATAGCCTCAACTTTGCTCTTTTTTGGTTTAATATCTTAAATTATTGGAGCTCTTCTTTTAATGGTTTTTTTTTTTTTTTTAATTGAAGTTGAATAATAAAATAAAAAAAGAAAAAGAAAAAGTAGCACAAAAAAAGGAAAAGGGAAAACAATAAAGAGCTCTACTATCTTATCCCTCTTGTAATGTTGTTTAGATTTACTAAATATATTTCATATGTGAAAAAAAAAAAAAATCAATTATCATATAAATGTTGTAAAAGCACTTTTGGAAGGCATATTTAATTAAAAATATTGAAAGGATGTTTATTGTAATGATATATATTTGTGGATGAGTGCAATTGAGTGGTTTTAGTACTAGTAAAAGGATGTTTATTGGATGATGGGAGGCAGCAATTATAGCTTAACATATATACCACAGTAATAGTAGTGGGGGTGACACAACACATCACATGCAAAAGTGCTTTTAAAAAAAGCACATTTGATACCCAAATGCTCTAACATCATTCAACCTTATAATATTTGTTGTTCAAGTATTTATTAACAATTAATCAATGTTTTTAGTTGATAAATCAACATCTCACTTTAAACCCTTTTTTTTGTTTTTTTTGTTTTTTCCTAATATCATTTCATTGTTTCAAAATTTATCTTCTCTATTCACTCATTATATCATTATGTTGATATTAGTAGCATTATATGCAATTTCATAATTTTTTTTTTTTTTGGATGATCGTGGTGTCTGAACTAGTTTACACGCATCTCAACTAATCCTTCAGGGCCTTGAACTAGAGGTCAGGTAAAAACTTTAGTGGCTATCCCTATTAGTACCAAAGGAGAGGCTCGAACTCAAGACCTCTTGAGTAATACACCCAAAAGTTCTTATCGAATAACTCGACTACCCAAAGGTAGTTAATTTCATAAATTTAACAAAATATTCTTCACTCTTTAAAAACCATATAATATAATAATACAGTTATAATTTAGTATGCATGAGTTGTGACAACTCATGCATTAAGGACAAAGATGAAGCAAATCTCCTAAAATAAGAAAGAATATTGATGATGTGGGCATTCAAGAAAATGCATATATAAATTAAATTGAGCTCAACTTTGACTGTCACCACTGTCTTAGTATATGTTTTAAAGGTGTGGTTAATCAAATTGAGACATGAATGGTCCCATTACCCAATTGGCCTCTTCCCCTTCCCAACCGGCATAATTAAGTTTGAAAACTCAAAAGTATTTAAAGGATCCCAAGATCTAAAACAAAGTGCCCATTTCAAGGAAAGCTCAATCTATATTCACTTATTTATAGGTGGGTAAAGCTGCATTAGATTTAAGGTATTTCACACTTAAAATATAGATTTATTATAATGGATTTATTTTTTAATAGACTGGAAAAAAAGTCCAATCAACTCAAGGACCATACCAAAATTGTAAGTGAAGAAGGTCAAGTGTCAGAAATGAGAACTGAAAATGCCAGTAAATATAAAATAATGTTAATTTGATATCTGAATTATTTTTAGATAAATGTCTTCCTTCAGTGACCTAATGTCAAAGGCTCAAGTTCAGAAACTCATATTAGATTTTTTTATTCTTTTACTATTTAAAAAAAAAATGTGAAATTCAAAATTATTACAAAAACAAAATCCCCATTTGTCAATACCAACCCACCCAATATCAACTGCCACCACTTCATTATTTCTTATGTCTCCCCATCATCAATACATTTATACGTCTAACTTGCGTATTTCAAGAATGAAATTTTGAATTCAAAATACAAACCAAAACCCAGTTTACAGATTGATTGTTTGACAACACGAACAAAAACAAAAACAATAAATACACTTTTTACACATCCCTTCTCCATATCAACCACATTACTATACAAATTACAAAATTTATCTCCCCGTTGATTCCGGTGGTTTCTGTTAGTGTGCCATGCACGCTCCACGCAACGCAGCCAACCCCATTAGACCCTTCCTTATCGTCATTCCATCCTCCGTAATTGCCGCTTCATAAACACTCACTCCTCTCACACTAAACTCAACATTCCTTTCTATTCTTTAGCGGCTTCTTCTTCTTCTTTTTCTTTTTCCTTTTTTATATTTATATGTATATATATATAAATTAAAACCCTTCATTCCCATTAACGATTCTCTCTATTTTTAGCCTCCTTTTCTTTACAACTACTCTCCACCTTTTAAGCTGCTTCTTCAAACTCCCACTTTCGTTTTGACCCGGATTCTTAACCCGGCCGGATCTTTATTCTTTTTTCCGGCCGAGTGAACCGCCGGAATCGGATGGTTCGGTGATTTTGGTTTTTTTTCGATGGGTTGCGTGAGCTCGAAGCAGGCGGTGTCGGTGACGCCGGCGCTAGACCTGTCGGGCGGGTTACGAGGGGACGGGTGCGGGGATAATTCGGGTCGGATCCGGGTGGGCAGTGGTAGGAGCGTTAGGGGTAGTGGTAATAGTATCAGAAAGAGCAAGGGGGAGTTTGGTGGTGGTGGAGGGGTAGTGAGTTGTGGAGGGAGCGAGTTGGGTGAGTCGGGTCGGGCGAGTTCGAACAGCGAGTCACTGAGTTTTAGGCTTGGGAATTTGCACAAGTATATCGAAGGTGAACAGGTGGCGGCTGGCTGGCCGGCTTGGCTCAGCGCCGTAGCCGGCGAAGCCATCCAGGGTTGGGTCCCACTTCGGGCGGACGCCTTCGAGAAATTAGAAAAGGTGGTCGTTTTAACGTCTCTTATAGTCAAAGTTCATAACTTTTTTATAGTTTTGTTTTAATTGCATTAGAAATAAATGAAAAAAATATTGGTTTTTATTTGTCATTTTGTTGGTTTTTAGTAACTTGTTTTGTTTTGTTCTGTTCTGTTTTTGTGTTCAGTTGATGAAAGAATTTCACTTTGTATTAAGGATGCTTTGGGACCATAATGAACCATCTTTTCCATAGAACTACTTTAGTATATTATTAATCTGATATTTCAGTTAGTTCATTAGTAATTCAATGAATTTCAAATAAAAGGTTGGATTTTTTGGTACTCTAGTTTCGGAATTGTCTAGTTGTTAAAAGGAACAATTTACAGATCATTTGGTATCATTTACGTGACTTTTCTGCTCATCAATGCTGCTAATGCATTTGACTTTGGCTCATTTTCTTAAGTCAAGTAATGAATTTGGTGGGTTTCAAGAAATTCTGGCAATTTTTATGTATTTTCAATTTCATTTGTTTTGACAGATTGGACAAGGTACATATAGTAGTGTGTTCCGAGCACGAGACCTTGAAACTGGGAAGATTGTTGCCTTGAAGAAGGTGAGGTTTGACAATTTTGAGCCTGAGAGTGTTCGCTTTATGGCAAGAGAGATAATGATCCTACGCCGACTTGACCATCCAAACATTATTAAGTTGGAAGGATTAATCACTTCCCGATTATCGTGTAGTATATACCTTGTATTCGAATACATGGAACATGATATTACTGGGCTTTTATCCTGCCCTGACATCAAGTTCAGTGAGTCACAGGTTTGTTTGCTTTGCTTTTATGGATGAGCTTTCACTGAATTTGATGCTTTGTTTACTGTGTAAAATGGAGGAGAGGATGGGTTGTTAGAATACCGAAGGGATACTGAATAGATGATCTGGTGCCGATGTCGCACCAGTGAGTTAATTTCTTGTTTTAGTCTATATTGGAGGTTAAGATTGATTTTGTTTTGTAGATCAAATGCTACATGAAGCAGTTATTATCTGGACTCGAGCATTGTCACTCACGGGGTGTTATGCATCGTGACATTAAAGGATCAAATCTCCTGGTAAATAATGAAGGAATCTTGAAGGTGGCTGATTTTGGATTGGCAAACTTCTGTACCTCCAATCACAGGCAACCCTTAACCAGTCGTGTTGTGACTTTATGGTACCGTCCTCCCGAACTTTTGCTGGGATCCAATGATTATGGAGCATCTGTGGATCTTTGGAGTGTTGGATGTGTATTTGCTGAACTTCTGTCCGGGAAACCTATCCTTCAAGGGAGGACGGAGGTAATCCCCTTATGAAAGTACACAATTTTTCATCGTTAACCATCTTAGTCAGTTAATTGGTTAGAAATGAAGTCTAATAATTTAAGGATACAGACTTTTCATGAAAACAATATAATTTTGGCAGAAATTACTTATATTATTGAATTAAATCTGTTACCTCCTAAAAATGGAAATTCACCAAAGGGAATCTAGTACAGGAATGTAAAAAAGGTCGAAAAGTGTGTTCTCAGACATCTCAAAGGAAAAATGACCTATCATAACAAGGAGAATTACTATAATTCTCAGAGCCCACTGTTGATCAAATTTCTCATGAGTAGCTGGGTGCCACAATTTTCCGTAGTCAGATGATGATATTGCTGTGACCTTTTCCACGTTATTGGCAGAATGTGTTATACTTGAGAGGGAGTAAATCTTTCATATTAAAACATGGTATTATGGTGAAAATTATTCATTGTACACATTAACTGTTGCAATTAGGCAGCTTGTGATTGTCCAGTATTAATTTAAGATGTTGAAAAAGCATGTGTCAAGAAGGTAACTTGCTTGATGCTTGTATTAAAACTTTATGATTTTTAATGAAATGGTATGACATGCATGTCTTCAAGTGGTTACATAAGTTGATTTTGCACTTATTTGATTTTGCACTTATGTTCATAATTTTTTATGTTAATATGGGTAATCTGCTCTAATTGTGCTTAAATTCATTTCAAGTTCCGGTGTTAAATGGAATGATTTTGTTCCACCCACAGGTCGAACAACTACATAAAATTTTCAAGCTTTGTGGGTCTCCACCAGATGATTACTGGAAAAAATCTAGACTTCCTCATGCAACTCTATTCAAACCGCAACAACCTTATGAAAGTTGTCTTCGGGAGACCTTTAAAGATTTGCCAACGACCTCCGTGAACCTGATTGAAACCTTACTTTCTGTGGAGCCATACAAGCGTGCAACTGCCTCTGCTGCTCTTACATCTGAGGTGGGCTCCCCAGACTATACTGATTCCTTTGGCATGCATGAAAGTAAATCTATCCTGTCTACTTCAATTTTACATTGCCATTATACTGTGGAGCAGTTTATATGTAGGTTTTGCAATTCTTATCTATCAGACATGAGCATTTTTCCCCCACTCTCTAAATATTTCTCTTTCTTTTTACTTTTAGCAAGTTCATTGAAATTCCTTGTATTTTGCATTGCTGCCATATTTCTAACACAAAATTCTCTACCTAAAATTTTCAGTATTTCACTACAAAGCCTTATGCATGTGATCCGTCGAGTTTGCCTATATATCCACCTAACAAAGAGATTGATGCAAAAAATCGTGAGGAGGCACGGAGGTGAGGATTTCTCTGTTCTTTGGTTTTATATAATATTTTTTATGATGCCTGTATGACAGATGAAAAACATATTGATGTATTGGGAGCCACTCCATACCAGTAATCATGATATCCAGTCTGACATATCATCTTGTGCGCCAAAGCAATATAGAACTGACTACCATATACCCACCCCATTGTTATGGAAAAGGAGATGGTGTTAGGTTAATATGCCACCGGTTGTTACATTGAGTTAATTTTAGGGTATTTGAAGACAAAAAGAAAATACATGAATGTCTGATGAATCCATTTTGCTTTAGACATCATCATAAAAATTGAATTTACAAGCTGACATGATCTCCACAATCATCTAGAAATTGACAATAAGGCAATATTTTGAACGCAAATTTAGCAACTGTTGTCAAGAGAAATACAATTAAGGACACTGAACTACTCAAACCTTATGTGAAACTAAGGAATGATTTCTTATTCTCTTTTTGTAAATGTAAAAAATTTACCACCTAGATATTGGTATATGCATACATTATGAATTTATGTATTCCTGTCTAGGTTCTGATACACATATTTGGGTGGAATTCCCAAAATGTTGATCCTATTGAGTTTTATTCTTCATTTATTCCACAAATAGTGAATTTTGCTCTTTCAAACTGTGCTGATATTTTGCACTGATATTTCAGGAAAAAGAACAGTGGGAGAGTTCGTGGAACTGAAACAAGAAAACCAACACGAAAATCCCATGGAATAAGTAAATTGGCACCAGTGGAGGTCTGTGTATCTGTCTGCAGATATTCATCTATTCTTTGCATACCAAGGAATCTAATTGTCATTGATCAACTTATTTCAACTTGCAGGATGTGGCAGCCCAAACTCATTCTGCTCAAAAAACTAATGTCAATAATGTGCATATTCTGAAAGATGTGATGTTAGGTGGGGAAGTCCGTAACCGTAAGCCATCGGTTGATGAGCGGGAAGAGGCTTCCCATGTAAAGAATGCATCTCATGGAGACATTCCCTACTCTGGTCCCTTACAAGTTTCTACATCTAGTGGGTTTGCCTGGGCAAAAAGACGAAAAGATGATGCATCCATAAGATCTCACTGTAGATCTATCTCAAGAACTCATATTATGAATGCATTGGAGCCTTCTGCTGCATTGCATGCAAGAAATAATTGTGATTCAAAAAAGCACGATAATGGAGATATTTTATATGGTGGTCGTAATGATACTAGAGGCCATGAATATGAGATTTCCAAGCTTTCTATGCTTAAACAATGGAGCCAGTTTGAGCGTCCAGATTCTTTTGATGCTTCTGATGGATACCATTCACAGGAACTATCGTTGGCACTTTACCAAAGAGAGGAAATGGCATCCAAGAGAAATAATTTGGTACGTTTGTAAATATTAGATCTTGAAATGATGTCAAATTTGTTTTTTACATCTAACACTGATTTCAATTTTTGTTTAAAATGAGTTAACCTTGTTTGCAATGTTTTTATGAAGAATAGTGTAACATGTCATTATTCTGAAATTGTTTTTAATTAATAGAAATTCTGGAAACAATTGAAATATCATCAAAATATCAAACCTTGATACAGTGAAAACTAATATATGTTTATGGATTAGTACTTTAGGAGATGAGTAAAGCTTCATAAATTGATATTTTTCTAATATTTATTATTATTGTTTAGTATTATTGAAGTAACTGCTGAGTATTAAAGCCACTTAAAAGTAAGGGGTGTAGTTGTTTTCCCCCTTATTTTTTGAAGAGAGATTGGTGTTTAGCAACAGAATCACTGCTTATAAAAAAGAGGTACAAAACATTCAAAGAACTATTTTATAATCTTAATGGATATCTACAGCTTGGGAGTACACAAAGTTGGGTTATGACAAACAGGATGGTGGTAATAGTTGTATTGGATGTCGCAGTATATGGATGGCGGTTGAAGCATTGGAGCTGGGAGGAGGTTAGTGATGTTAGCATGGTGATGGAGTTGATGGCTATTTTGTGTAAAAACGGTGACAACATGAAATACAAGATTACAGGAACATTTTTTTGCTCTTTCAGAAGTGAAAACTACTGGAATAAATCTTCTGTAAATTTTCTTAAACTTTGGCAATAGACAAGAAATAAATAGTTACAGGTAGCATGTGCAGTTTTCAAAAATAAATAGTTACAGGAAACAATGATGATGATAAATGATCATGGTTTCCACAACAGGACTCAATGATGATGATTTTGCTCTTTTTTCTCAATCTTTTTATATAGTTGTGGAGGCTGAAAATATTAAATTAATGAATGTCAATTTCATTTCAATATTCGTTAATTTACCCAATCTAGTGTATTAATATTGGTGTTGGTGCAGGGTTATCAAGATCAAGGGGACAAGGTTGAATTTTCTGGACCCTTGCTATCTCAGTCAAACAGAATTGATGAACTCTTAGAAAGACACGAGCGCCACATCCGTCAGGCAGTTCGAAAGTCTTGGTTCCAAAGAGGTAATGTGACAACAGTACTTTGTGGTCCTCTAGATTTATTACTAAAAACATGCAATGATTTCGGTACAAACAGAAAAATCAAGTGAATAATGAAGAAATTATTGATTGTGGAGGGGACAATATATTGGATGTGTCATTATTTTCAATTATAACTTTCAATAGTACTCGGTTGTTGTGATTTAAGTGGGAATCAGTTCAAGTTAGATTGGGACAGTAGTCATTACTACTACAGTACACCGATAGTGAATAAATACTTATACTTACGGACTTGCATATGCACAGCTTCCTGTAACTTCACACTACAAACAGTCAGATAATGATCATGACCAACATGACTAATAGTTTGAACTTTTTGATTGCAGGTAAAAAAGGTGGAAAGTGATTGGAGTATGTACTCGGCTTTAGGTATATCGAGAATAGAAGAGACCTGAGACGGGAAACCAGATGCGAAGAATCTTAAACTGTTAAAGAGGACCAAGTTTATTATGCTGCCAGACCCTGCAATCGCACAAATGAAATATCAGAGAAAATGCTCATCAATTTTGTAGATGCACAAACACCAGACTGGGAAGGGAGAATCTATGATTACTTGAGGCATAGAGAAAAGGAAAGATAGAAGGATTGGTCAGCGACATGAATATGTAGTTCAATTTTGGTTGATTGTTTTTTCCTCTGATTAGTATCTTCTTCCCTATTCTTTTTCCGACTTAGATCGGTGTTGTATCCCTCCCTGCATTGTATAGATCAGAGGCAATTGATCCCGAGAGTGATCATGTATATATATGCTTGTGTTTTATAAGACATCTTGTATCGGCTTTCGTTCGCCTCCTACCCTTAGCAATGCTTCATCAGACAAGTTCTATGCTTATTTGCAGCAAACCACGATTTTTGAAATGCTAAGTTAAGAGTTGCACTGTCAACTTGTGATTTGCTTTCATAAGATTCGGGATTCGAGCCCTCTTATGGATATATGAATGCGTGGTTAAAGGTTATTGTTTTCTATTTCCCAAAAATGGTAGGTTTTGATGGGGACATCAGTTTCAATTTTCAAACTCATCTTGCTAAATAAGTGCAAAGGATTACTGGATTATAAAAAAAAAAAAAAAAAAAAGGAGTTGTAGTATTAATTATCAAGAGCCTGTTTTATGGATCCAATTGAATGCTATAACATATATATATAGATATTCACATTCATATTCAAACATGGATAATTGTTTTTTTTTTTTTTTTTTTTTTTTTTGGTGATCGGAATGTCCAAATCAGTTTGCATGCACCTTAACTGGATAATTGTTTAGATTATAAAAAAGAAGTTAGCAATCTTAATCAACTAGAGCTTGTTTGATGGATCCACTTAAACATTATACATAAACATTGATAATGTTCTTTAATTTAAGTTTCGGTGTAAATCATCAAAACATGTTTGATGGATCCAATTAAACACTGATAATAATATACATACATTCATATTCAAACACCAATAATTGTTCTTCATTATGTCACATACCTCGTTTCATTCAAAACTTTTCGGATTTGATAGACTAAATACCTAAACGCGAATCTTTAACTAAATATCCAAAATTACTTTAACACATATGTGTGTGTCTTCACCCAGTGATGGCAACCGCAATCTTGGACTTGCTTTTTCCGGCCTTGTCGCGTGGCCTGTAATGTTGAGAATCATTTGTCAATTACCATTATTATCATTGATAAAAGGCAACCAAATGACACATATTATGTACAAAAGGTTGAGTTTTTCCAAGTTTTGATTAAGAAAAAGATAATCCCAATCAATATCAGTCTATTTCATTACTCAGGACGCCCAGAAAAATAACAGGTTATAATTGATTTAATTTCATGGTAGGGCAACATGAATGTAGACAGATTGTGGCAAGTTCTCGCAATGCGAACAAGGGTATTTCGGTAGAAGGGATCCATCAATTATATTGATAAAGAGGGAGGGAAGGGACCAATGGGCCAAAGCGCCTCTAGTACATTCAAGGTTTTGTTTTTTTTTTTTTTTTTGATTATCTTATCTGTGTAGGTAAATTTTATGAATGAATAATTAAAAGTTTAAATGAAAGGGTCAAACGGATGGGATTATCAAATCAGTTGTCAAATTGAGCAGTAATTAGAAAGGATGGTGTGATCTCGTTTCTATTTACTTTGCATATACTTTGTAACTAATGAGTAATTTTAAGAACTTTTACCATATAAATCATATGGATTTCATTATTATTAAATGGGTTAATTTTATTCACTCACGAGAGATCCTTACATCAAATGTCAAGCGAATTTTGTATTCCATTAAATGTCTTATAAATAATAATACAAATATTTTTATACAAAATGATATGACAGTGTATATAAATTTTTATAAGATTTCTTTTTACGTGTAGTATTATTACTTTAAAACGGTTGGATAATTTTATATAAAAAAAAAATTAATATTTTTAATTGGGTTTTTGGTATTTTAAGAAGAAATTTAAAATTTTTAAAATTATTGAAAGGCTTGAAACTTAATCATCTCTTATAGATAACTAAACATACTATATCCCTCTAAAAACTCTAAAGGGTTAGGGAGGTTTGCTCTCTTCCTAATTCTTGATTCAAATATTGAGACCATTTACCACATTGTAACTTATCTGACCATTTAAACTGAAGATATTCAATGAATTATGAAGATAATTAAAGTATGTGCAAGTTTCTGATTAACAAAAAAAAAAAAAAAATTATATCCATCTTAGTTGGATGAATTAATATAAAAATAATCAATTTAATATATGTATATTAAATAATAAAGTCACAATAATTTGTATAAATAATTTTGTATAGAATTTTGTAAGCGTAAATGTAATATTATATATATATATATTTTTTTTTTTTTTTTTGAAAAGTTGAATAAAATTTACCTTAAATTGGATAGTTTATGAAGTGTTGAAGAATTTGCATATTTAGGAATGAAAGATTACTCACCCTCTCAGAAATTTGAAACATAAGGTTAGTGTGTGTGTCCCCATGAAAAGCAAGTGTAGGGCTGGGAGCCATCATTACTTTTTAACAACCAAATCATTCCAATTGAAATCTACTCATCATCTCCCCCATCAATCACCTGCAATGCACATGACGGGCATGCATGGAGTGGACCCCACTTATCATAATTTTAGACAATCATCGGCCGTTGATCTTGCTGACTGACGTCACGAGTGCTGCCCACGTGGATCCACATGAGAGATGATCTAAGCAACAGATTTCTTATAACCTAATTAACAAGTTGTTTAAGGATTAATAATTACTATTTAATTATGTGGTCAAACCGCCACGCTCAGCGATTGCTTCAGTTGCTGGCTGGCTTTAGTTTAACTGTAGTTCAGAGCAAGACACGTGATTTGATTTATTTATTTATTATTTTTTGATTAAAGAGAAAGGAAAATAACATGTGTGTGAATTGTGATTGTGACCGACAACTTTTACCGCCATTAACCGGTTAATCTTTTTTACTTCGTCAGATTCAACTAGAAAACATCCTTTTCACAACAATAAAAATATCGGTGTGTTTTTTTTTTTGTTATTTTGAATAAGATTTTCGGAATAATATTGGATAATTGAATATGATAAATACTACGAGATAAAATTTAAAAATTAACAAAAAAATCTCCTAAGTTTGCTAATTTACTAAACACCCAAATATATAAAAATTTTATAAAATGACAAAAACACCCCCACCCACCCATGGTGCCAGATTCTGGCCACCATCGTTGGAATCTGGCCGAAAAATGGTGTTACGACACAGATCGGTCGGATCTGACCGATCGTGCGTCGATATGGCCGTTTCCGGCCAGATCTACCACGGATCTAGTCAGAAAATGTCAGATCTAGCTGTCGACGGTCGCAAACGGCTAGATTGGCCATCAGCGATGGCCAAAGATATGGCTGTCGCTGTCAGTGATGGCCAAATCTGGCATTTTTCGGCCATATCTACTGTGGATCTGACCGAAAAAGGCCAGATCGGCGAATTACTTGCCAATTCCGGTCGTTTTTACGCCGTTGTGACAGATTCCAACAACCACCGACGGTGGTTGCCGGAATCTGGCAACTATGGGTGGATAGGGGTGTTTTTTTTAATTTTTAAACTTTTTTCTAGGAGTGTTTAATTAAATTAATAAATTTAAGGGGTTTAAAAATAATTAAAAAAATAAAATAGTATTTCTCATATAATAAAACAAACAAGTATTTTGAGAATATGATTGAGAATATGAATAGTAATAACAAAACAAACGCACCCATATTTACCAAAATTTTAAGTTAAACCATAAATTAATTTCTTAGAATATAAATTATAAATATTTTTTTTATAAAAAGCAAAAAAAGATACTTTTTAAAATAAATAAATATTATAAAATTTTATGTTCATTAGAGGATATGTCTATAACTTATATAGCAATTAAATACAGTTTCATTTTGTTTTTGAAAATCTAGGATATAACAAATTTTATGAAGTGGAACTGAGTCAAATTATTTTTTAAAACAATCTAAAAAATAATGTAATAAAATGACTAACATTTTTTTACAACTTTTAATCTGAAAACAATTTCAGTATGTAATATCAAACATATTTTCATACATTAAAAATATTAAAATAAAATTCAAAAATTTGAATAGTATTTTAATTGTTAAAAATTATTTTTGAATAAAAAATCAAATAAGTTACATTTTCATTTAACAAATTTTCTCGCTCAATAAATATAATTATGGGTTATTATCCTATACTTTTTTATAGGATCATTTAATTATATTGACACTCTAAGTTTTTGAAAAGTATTACAAACTTATAGAGATCAATTTAATTATTAAAATTTCTGAAATTATTAGAATTGTTTTATGAAATTTATATTCAATATTAATATTTCTTGAAAAAAATAAACCATATTTTTTATATAATGATCCATAAATTGCAATAAATGATAACGGTTGTGGTAAGCTTCTTTTCTTTCACTATACTCTATAGTTACTTATTCACCGTCCAAATCTTTGACTAGAATCCAAGTGTTTAAAGGACGGTGATTACCCAATGGGGACCATCTAACATCTAGAAAGAACTGATCCTTCCACGCCTGATCATAAAATAACTGACTTTTGTGAGAAAATTTCCACTACTTGTAAGATCCCCATACAAGTGTGCTCTCCAGTCTCTACTTATGTTTAAAGCTAGAAAAGTGACCCGTCCGGCCCGACCCGTGGCGGGTTACGACTTTTGGCTAGGTTAGGCCCGTCATTTTTTGGGAATTGGCTAGCCTAACCCGACCCGTCAACCCTAACCCGCCGGGTTAACCATCTTTTTTGATTTTGTTTTATTTATTTAACTTTTCAAATAAATAATTAACAATTTATAAATAAATAAATTATAAATGTAATTGTTTTTAGTTAACTTTTCAAATATCAATATTCAATTAAATTTTTTTTTTTTTTTGGTTAACATTTCAAATATCAATCCAATTTTAATACAATAAAATTGTAATATAAGAAAAATTAGACTTATTCATTTATCAAAAAATAAAATAAGAAATTATAACAATTATTGCCTCCTTAAAAACCTCACCAAGAAAAATCCAATGGGAGAAAAACTTGGTAAAGAAAAAAAAGTGCAATAATTGTCAATTAATTTACAAATTACATTTTACAAAACAACTAATTTGGGGGTGGTTCACTAGGACCTCCCTCATCCGTATCATTTATATTACAAAATTGAAATAATTCTATTAAAGTATCATCGACAACCTTGTATTGATCTTGATGGCGAGACCGTTCCCAATCCCGAAGACATGTGAGGACTTCAATCATTTTTGGAGAAAGTTTAGTCCT